ATAGAACTAGTCTAGCACCTCTAAAGCCTACCTTGATATTCTAGCTATTAAGACTATTTAAAAGCTAGCTTAAATACTTAAAGAAAGGTTTTCTTACTAATATAATATATATAGTTATATGCTAAGGCTAAGATCTAGTTACTATATCTACGCTTTAATAGCGCAAAGCAACTAATATTAAGAGATTATAGTAGATATAATAAATATAGAGGCATATAGTAAAGAATAATATTCTTCTTCTTGCAAGAATTCTAGAATTCTAGTAAGCTATAGCTCTTATAGCTATTAAGTATAAGTAGCTAGTACGTATCTATAGCGCTTAACTTTATATACTTATTAAAGTACTCTAGCTAGGTAAGAGTAAGCTAATTATTTATCTAGCTATTAAGACTTACTTTAAGAATCTAATTATATAGTAAGTTCTTAAACTAGACGTTAATAAGTACGCTGCCTATAAAGATAACAAAGAGTAGAAGTAGATAGCCTATAGCTCTTATGCCTTAGATAATAGTAATCTACTTATAGTTACCTAGCTAGATAACCTTCTTTCTTCTAGCTACTTCTAAACTAGTAATAACTATCTACGCTAAAATCTTATCTATTATAAAGCTAGTCTTATTAAAATTATAGATATTATTATCTATAATTCTAAACTTCTATTTTATCTTCTATACTAAGTTAAGCTAGCGCTAGATAGCTATAGAATTCTTATAGGCAGCTTACTAATAGTTATATAGATAGCTCTAGCGCTTACGAAGCTTAGAAGTCTACTTAATAAAGTTATTAATCTAGTTCTTGCTAATAGAGTTACTTTACTATGCTCTAAGAAGTCTATCTACTATTTCTTATATAATAGACCTTAAGAGCGTAAGATCTTATGCAGACTAGTTAAGAACTCTTTAGACTATAGCCTTCTCTTCTAATTTTATTAGATACTTTAAGTTTGCTTTATAGTTACATCGTATATGCTTTCTAGCACGTTAGTTATAAATAGTCTTTTAAGATACGTTATATATATCTATAGCATAATTTACGCTTTAAATGCGTTGCGCTTTAATATTAGAGATAGTAAGCTATATATTAGCTTTAGTATAAGTCTTTTAGCTATATTATAGTTAAGATATTATATAATAATGCAGCGCAGATAGTGCGCTAATTTAGTATTAGCTACTTACTTAGAGTAGCTACTTACTTATAAAATACGTTAAATAGTATTTAGATAATAGAATACTATATAATATATAATAATATAATTAATTATATTAAGTATCTATTCTAATAGAGAATAGTACTAATCTCTCTACTATATATAGTAACTAACTAAAACTTAATCTATATAGTCTTCTAGTCTTAGAAAGGCTATACGTAACTATTACGTATATAATTACTCTAAAGGCTATTTAGAATAATAAGTTTACTAAGCCTTAGATACTATATACTATAATAGTAGTAATAGAGTAGAGTTAGATTATCTCTAGAAAGAAAAGCATAGCTAATTCTCTAGAAGTAAAAGACTATAAAAGCTATCTCTAGAGATAAGAGATAATAAAGGCTACTTCTAGAGGTAAGAGACTATAAAGGCTACCTCTAGAGATTAAGAGATAAAAACTATCTCTAGAGATAAGAGACTATAAAGGCTATCTCTAGAGGTAAGAGATAAAGACTATCTCTATATAATAAGCTAAAGCCTAGTAAGCTTATTTCTTAATAATATCTTAGTTATATATATAAGCGTATAGTCTGCAACTATATACGTCTAAATAATACTTAGACTAAACTTCTAAATCTTAGACTAAAGAATAATCTAAGCTACTACTAATTAACCTTTAGAATAAGATAATCTATAGTTTTCTTCTCTATCGAATATAATCTTTAGTATATCTATGCAGTAGCTCTCTAAGCATAGCCTCTTATAGATAGCTAAAGCTGCAAAGATAGATAAGACTAGCTAGTTTAAGAGACTTAGGTAGTTATTATTTCTGCAGAGCTAGAATCTAGCTTATCTAGGCTATTAAGCCTACTTATCTAACTAAAATAAAGCAAAGCTATAGCTAGCTGCTATGCTAATAGAAGAATTAATTAAAAGATCTATTTATAGCTTAGTAATACTTCTATAGAAAATATAATGCTAGCTTTATAGTATATAGTAGATAGAAATTAATTAATAGCTGCTAGCATAACTATAGAACTCTAAGAGTTAGATAATATATACTAGCTATATAGTCTAATTTATCTACTTCTATCTCTATATTATTATAGATAAAAAGCGTTAAGTAGATAACCCATATATAGTATAGAGAGATTAAGCTATTAGTATTAATAGTATAAGTAATAAGAATACTAGCATAGAGAGTAAGTATAATAATAGCAATATAGAAGGCACTATTAATAGCAATAATAATAATAGTATTATACTATAATAGTAGCTATATTAAGTAGTATAGGCTAATAAGATAAAGAATATATATAAGCTATTTATATAGAAGAATACATCTAGAGAGGCGCTAGTAATCTAGCTATAGATTATACTAAATAATAGTAATGCAGCTGCTTAGATAAATACGCTACTTAACTTACTAGCTTTATTTATTCTTACTAGCTATAGCAGTAATAAGTTTTTAAGTAGTCTAGTATAGTATTTAGCTATACTAGGCATTAATACGCAGATAAACTACTTACGTATAGTAAAGAATTTCTTATATATACTTACTAGCATAGTCTACTATATTCGCATACTTATAGTAGAAAAGATTCTACTTATAGCTAAGCGTATTAATTAGATAGA